CCTGAGGCAGAGAGGAGAGACAGTCATCGAGTGGGATCTTCGCCACGGTGCCCATTTTGATCTGACTCGCCCGGCTGTTTTTAAGGATTTGAGAGGTTGGATTTCTTCTGGCCTTGTAAAGCTCGTGTTTCTTGGGACGCCCTGCAGTGGGTACTCGAGGGCCCGACGGGCCCCTAGGCACAGCAAGATGCCCTCCGCCCTCAGAAGCCCCTCGTGTCCCATGGGTCTTCCAGGTCTTTCGGGCAAGGACCTCGAAAGCCTCACTGTCTCCAATAGGCTAGGGTGGGTGTCCCAGCGAATTCAACGCCTGTGTTATAAACTGAATGTGCCAGGAGCCGAAGAAAATCCCTGGCAGAGCTTTCTGTGGCTGCGCCCTGATCGTCGCTCCTTCGCCAAGCTCCCTCAGGTGTGTGATAAAGTTGTGGACTACTGTGCCTGTGGGCGCCCCTTCAGAGCTCGAACCAGGATTCGGTTCTGGAAGTGCGCGCCCCACCCTGGTCTTGATAAACTAGTATGCACTGGCAGAGGTATATGTAGCTTCTCCCGTAAGCCCCACGTGGAGCTCACAGGTTTTTCTGGCAACAAGTTTTGCACGCTAATGAAAAACGCCTACCCTTCTGCTCTGTGTGCACTCTTGGCTGACAGCCTGCACAAGTCGTGTATAGCCCAGCAGTCCATCGGAAGGTGGAAACACATGCGAGGAATATAACTCCCCAGTTCAATGCTTGAGGTCGGGCTTTTTGAAGGTTGGCAAATCTGTGTCGCACTAGCCAGCCTAGCTTGCCCGTGCTTCGTTCGTTTCCTCAAGCAGCATGTGCCACTGGCAAAATGGACCAATCATGTAAGTGATGCACGGGAATGATTGTGAATGTCTGCCGCCATTTATCTCACAGGCACTTCTCTTCGGCCCTCGCCAGCCCAATGCCTCCTTTAATCCGTGCCTGGAGCAAATCTGTGTCGCACTAGCCAGCCTAGCTTGCCCGTGCTTCGTTCGTTTCCTCAAGCAGCATGTGCCACTGGCAAAATGGACCAATCATACATTTTTAGCAGATGCGTTTTTTCGGCTTTCACTGCGTTGACGACGGCCCAAGAGGCCCCCAAGACAGCCCTAAGACGGCCCAAGAGGCCCCCAAGATTGCCCAAGAGGCGCCCCAAGACGGCCCAAGAGGGCTCCAAGACGGCTCCAAGAGGGGGACCACGAACCGAAAAGTCTAGCCTTTCGCCCCAAGACGCTCCCGGGAGGTCCCCACTGCCCCCCAAGAAGCCCCAAGAGGCCCCCGAGAGGCGCCCCACGAGGCCACCAGGAGGCCAAAATCATAGATTTTCTATGAGGAAATGAGCATTTTGAGCATACACGGCTTTGCGGCTTTCACGGCGTTGAAGACGGTCCGAGAGGCCCCCAAGATCGCCTCAAGACGGCCCAGGAGGCTTCCAAGAGACCCCCAAAACGGCCCGAGAGGGCCCCAAGAGAGCCCCAGAGGCGCCCAAGACGGCCGAAGAGGGCCCCAAGACGGCCCCAAGAGGGGGACCACGAACCCGAAAGTCTAGCCTTTCGCCCCAAGACGCGCCCAGGAGGGCCCCACAGATCCCCAAGAAGCTCCAAGAGGCCCCCAAGAAGCCCCCAAGAGGCCTTCAAAAGGGATCCAAAAGGGCCCCAATAGGACTCCCAAGAAGGCCCAGAGACGCTAAGTAAAGAGCGATCGGTAACGCAAAAAGCTCTTCACACCAAGGCTCCCAAGAGCGACCGGTGACGTAAACAAGCTGATAAGACCAAGGCTCCCAGCAGAGAGCGGTGACGTGACAAGTTCCTGACACTAAGGCCCAGCCAAGGCTCAGGAACGGACGGCAACGCAACAATTTCTGAACACCACGGCTCCCAAGAGCGAGGGGTGACGCAACCAGCTCTCATCGCCAAGGCTCCGAGTACGAACGGTGGTGTGAGCAATTCCGGCTTATGTTTCTGAAGCGGTTTTTCCGTTTCTGTGCCAGGCCAGGTAACGGAAAGAGCGAGGTACGAGTGATGACGTTGTGTTTTGGGCGAAGCCCCTAAGGGGGGGTTCCAGGGGGGGGCGTAGGCGGGCACGAACGGGTGGTAATGGCCGTTTGTGGGGTTTCCCCCAGGGTTTTGCATGTTTTTCTAATTTCTCCCTTTTTCCGTCCCAGAAGGGCCCAAGACCGCCCAAGACAGCCCCAAGACGTCCCAAGAGGCCTCCAAGACGCCCCAAGAAGCGCCCAAGAGGCGCCCCAAGAGGGACCCCAAGAGGGCAAAATCATGGATTTCCAATCGGAAACGTATATTTTTAGCACATACGGCTTTTCGGCTTTCACGGCGTTGACGACGGCCCAAGAGGCCCCCAAGATCGCCCCGAAGACGGCCCAAGAGGCCCCCAAGACCGCCCCAAGGCAGCCCAAGAGGCTCCCAAGACGGCCGAAGAGGCGCCCAAGACGGTCCAAGAGGGCCCCAAGACGGCCCCAAGAGGGGGACCACGAACCGAAAAGTCTAGCCTTTCGCCCCAAGACGCTCCCCGGAGGTCCCCACAGCCCCCCAAGAAGCCCCAAGAGGCCCCCAAGAGGCGTCCCAAGAGGCCACCAGGAGGCAAAATCATTGATTTCCGATGAAAGAGGTATTTTGTTTAGCATACCCGGCTTTTCGGAATTCACGGCGTTGAAGACGGTCCGAGAGGACCCCAAGATCGCCTCAAGACGGCCCAGGAGGCTCCCAAGAGGCCCCCAAAACGGCCCGAGAGGGCCCCAAGAGAGCCCCAGAGGCGCCCAAGACGGCCGAAGAGGGCCCCAAGACGGCCCCAAGAGGGGGACCACGAACCCGAAAGTCTAGCCTTTCGCCCCAAGACGCGCCCAGGACGCCCCAAGAGCCCCCCAAGAAGCTCCAAGAGGCCCCCAAGAGGCCCCCACAAGGGCTCCAAAAGGGCCCCAATAGGATTCCCAAGAAGGCCCAGAGACGCTAAGTAAAGAGCGATCGGTAATGCAAAAAGCTCTTTACACCAAGGCTCCCAAGAGCGAACGGTGACGTAAACAAGCTGATAAGACCAAGGATCCCAGCAGAGAGCGGTGACGTAACAAGTTCCTGGCACGCCCAGCCAAGGCTCAGGAACGGGCGGCAACGCAACAATTTCTGAACACCACAGTTCCCAAGAGCGAGGTGTGACGTAACCAGCTCTTAACGCCAAGACTCCCAGTACGAACGTTGGTGTGTGTATTTTCGGTTTCTGTTTCTGAAGCGCTCTTTCCGTTTCTGTGCCGGGCCAGGTAACGGAAAGAGCGAGGTACGAGCGATGACGTTGTGTGTTGGGCGAAGCCCTTTAAGGGGTCCAGGGGGGGTAGCGCGGCCGTTTGAGTTCTAATGGCCAATTTGGGGGTTGTCCCTCGTTTTTTTGCATGTTTTTCTGATTATTCCACAAAAGACGGCCCAAGAGCGCTCCAAGAGAGCCCAAGACCGCCCAAGCAGCCCAAGAGGCCCCCAAGGGGCGCCCAAGGGGCGTCCCAAGAGGGCCCCAAGAGGCCAACAACATAGATTTCCCACCAGAAAGCGTACATTTTTAGCATATACGCTTTTCGCCTTTCACGGCGTTGACGACGGCCCAAGAGGCCCCCAAGACCGCCCTAAGACAGCCCAAGAGGCTCCCAAGAGGCCCCGAAGACGGCCCAAGAGGCGCCCCAGACGGCCCAAGAGGGCTCCAAGACGGCCCCAAGAGGGGGACCACGAACCGAAAAGTCGAGCCTTTCGCCCCAAGACGCTCCTGGGAGGCCCCCACAGCCCCCCAAGAAGCCCCAAGAGGCCCCCGAGAGGCGCCCCACGAGACCACCAGGAGGCCAAAATCATATATTTTCCATGGGGAAAGTTACATTTTGAGCATACTCGGCTTTGCGGTTTTCACGGCGTTGAAGACGGTCCGAGAGGCCCCCAAGACCGCCCCAAGACGGCCCAAGAGGCTCCCAAGAGGCCTCAAAACGGCTCGAGAGGGCCCCAAGACGGCCCCAGAGGCGCCCAAGACGGCCGAAGAGGGCCTCAAGACGGCCCCAAGAGGGTGACCACGAACCCGACAGTCTAGCCTTTCGCCCCAAGACGCTCCCAGGAGGGCCCCACAGATCCCCAAGAAGCCCCAAGAGGCCCCCAAGAGGCCCCCAAGAGGCCTCCAAAAGGGTTCTACAAGGGCTCCAACAGGACTCCCACGCAGGCCCAGAGACGCCAAATAAAGAGCGATCGGTACTGCAAAAAGCTCTTCACACAAAGGCTCCCAAGAGCGAACGGTGACGTAAACAAGCTGATAAGACCAAGGCTCCCAGCAGAGAGCGGTGACGTAACAAGTTCCTGACACCAAGGCCCAGCCAAGGCTCAGGAACGGGCGGCAACGCAACCATCTCTGAGCACCAAGGCTCCCAAGAGCGAGGGGTGACGTAGCCAGCTCAACGCCAAGGCTCCCGGTACGAACGGTGGTGTGAGTCATTTCGGTTTCTGTTCTGAAGCGCTCTTTCCGTTTCTGTGCCGGGCCAGGTCTAATGGTCCCGGTGCCCGACGACGAGTTTGGAAAGCGGAAACCGAGGAGCAGCGCTGGGACCGAGCAACACAAATCAGGCCTCGGCAAATCCGAGTGGTTGGCGTTCTCCTAGCAATGCCAGTGGCGAGGATGGCTCTGGCCAGGCACCGTCCCCGAGGAGACCGCGCCGCGAACAACAAGGGCGCCCTCGAGGACGCGGAGTTGTTCGCGCTTCGCGGTTCGGCTCCGATTCCTCATCCTCCTCTTCTCCCGTCGGAGGAAGGCGCGAGAGCGCGAAGTTATTCGCACTTCGCGCTTCGCGCAGCGCGAAGCTGGGAGCCCCTGGAACAAAAGCACGACGGAACAGTCTTGGAAAGTTCTACTCGGGATGAACAGCCGGCCTTTGGGGAGGTTGGCGCGGCCTCCAGGGGTCCACGCCGCAACACACCAGTACGTCCTCGGAGATCTGGGGATGGTGGCGTGCGGGCGCCATCTGCGTGCCAGAGCGGGCCGCCGCGGCCGGCAATGGGCAAGCGGGCCGCCCCCACGATCGTGCCGCCCGCTGCGCAGCTGCCCCGGGCGAAGTCCGGCCGCAGCATCGGCAAGGAGCTGTCGGCACAGCCGGCCACGCCGAAGGCCGAGCCCGCCAAGGATCGGGCGGTGCCAAGGAGGCCCCCTCGAGGCTAGGGCCTCGATCTGTTGTTGGGGCGTTTTCCTCCTGCTGGGGCCACCTGGGGCGGGCCAGAACGCTCTGAAGTGCGTGCCTGAGCCGCTCTGAGGAGCTCGTCTGCACTGCCCCCCCCCCTGAGCACAGAAAACGGACAACGAGGAGGAGCGGGGGGGAAGATGCCGAGGATGCCGAGGAGGAGGAAGACGTGGAGGAGGAGGAGGAGGAGGAGGAACTGGAGGAGGAGGAGGAGGAGGAGGAGGAGGAGGAGGAGGAACTGGAGGAGGAGGAGGAGGAGGAGGAGGAGGAGGAGGCCCCCCCGTCCCCCTCTGGTGGAGCGACTCACGCATGGCGCTGCCCGAAAGGAGCTCGCGCCGGCTGACCCGCTCGCAGAGGACTGCGCCGCCCTCGGCGGGCTGCTGGGGCAGGCGCAGGGACTCCCGACCTCCTGCCAGGATACCCCGCCGTCGGCCCATGTCGCCATGTCGACCCGATTGTCGGGTTGACCCAAAGGGGCTCCAGCGACAAGGGGGTGGTGCGATAGGTTTGGTGCAGTAGATTTTTGGGGTTGCAATCCATCTGTGGCGTGCAAACATTCCAGGGCGCAGAAGTATTGCTGGATTTTCGCGTGCACCCCCTCTTGGGTCACCCAAAGATTGGTCCAATTCGATGCAGTGGAAACCCATGCCAAGAAGCACCCTGCTTGCCTCCATGGTGCCCTGGGTTTCTTGGGTTTCGATGGTTCTACGATGGAAGACATGACGTCCCCATACCAAACATCAATGGCTCCTACTGCGTCGATTCCAGCCGGCTCGACCCGAATCGCTTCTGGTAAATATGTCGATGCTCCGACGTGGCCTGGCGTCCTGGCCCCGCAGAAGGGCGACGGAGACGACGACGTCGTCGTTTTTGGAGCACCTATTTCTGGGGCGCACGCCCGCGCCGCCGTCGCGACCGCCACCGCCACCGCAGCCGTCGTCGATCAATCGATCCGGGGCCGTCGGAAGACAACTCAGGGGCGACAGGCTTGTCCCCAGGAAGGGGTCGAGAGGTCTGAGGGCCCGTGTCCGGGGGAAGGCAGATCGAGTCGTGAGGTTCCAAGGTTCACCTTCGAGTTCGGCCGCCAGTATTCGATCCAGGGCCAAGACCTTGCCAGGAGGGGCCCTGGGCAGGGTCCAAGGACCGATTTGGGGCGGGTTCGGTTGCCATCCTTGGCCTCCTGGTCGCAGGACACAAGCATACTGATACCTATGCTTTTTTATCCTCGTGCTCGCCTTCTTGGGCCTCGAGCTGGGAGGGCCTACAGACCCAGACATCAGTTCTTGATGTTTCTCCGATCCTCCAGTGTGGTGGCGTACTCATTTTGTGTAGCAGGGTGTTAGGGGGCTTCTCGCGCGTCTCCCTCCTCCCGCCTCCCCTCTTCTCCCTTTTGTCTCCCCTCCAGCGTCCTTCTGGCCTTCGGCCTCCTGCCACGCTCGTCTCCCTCCTTGTCTCTCTCTCCCTCTCTCTCTTGGGGGCGGGCCAGCTGTAACCGTCGCCGCTTCGGTGGGCTCCTGGGAGGCCTACCGGGATTCGACGGGAGGGGTCCCCCCCTTGCGGACCCAGGCGTGACCTCGCGCTCCCGTGCGAAGTGTGCCATTTGCGCCACCGTCACCGTTTCTGTGGGCTCCCGGGAGGTCCAGAGGGGCGGGCCCCCCCACGCGGACCCAGACAAGACCCGGCGCTCCCTCGCGGGGCGTGCCATCTGCGAAGCAGTCGCAGCTTTCGTGGGCTCCTGGGAGGCCCAGTGGGGCGGGGTCCCCACGCGGGCACAGCCCAGACCTCGCAATCACTCGTGGGGCTGTCGCCGCCTTCGTGGGCTCGTGGGAGGTCCAGCGGAGTTGGTTATTGACGACGCTTCGCGTTCACCGCCCGCCCAGTCCAGTGCTCGCCAGAAGAGACGAAGACGGCACCAAGACTGGATGGCAGTGCTCCGAAAATGGTGACAGACCCCCCACATGTCTAAGAGGCGCCTTCAAGGGCCGACGAGGGAGGGCCCCGAGAATCGCCCCAATTGGGTACAAGACGGGCCCCAGGCTACCCAGGCGGGCCTATGGACGGCTCAAGCGCGAGCATCCCCATGGTGGGCCCGAGCCCCGTTCGCATTTCCATCGAAACCTGGCCTGGTTCTGGGCCGGTCTAGGTTGCGTTTTTGGGGCCCAGTTCGGCCCAGAAGCGTCCACAATTGATTCCGAAAGCGCACAAGATCGGCGACGAAATTGACATGTTAAATTGCCCGGAAGAGGCCGATTGTCAGCTGTAAGAGGCGTCCAGGCAATCCCAGGCGAGGCAAATTTCCAGTTGCATGTTTTTGCAACTCCCAGGCGATCCAGGCGATCCAGGCGTCTGGGCAAATCCCAGGCATATATCTTTGATGCTTCCTGTTTGTACGTGCAGTTGGGCCCCCTGGGTCCGACATGACCCACATTTTGCCCCGAAAGCGTCGCCAGGAGGATCTGAAAACCGAGCTCGTTTTGGAAGCCGTCTTGAAGCCGTCTAGGCTCGACAGGAGTCGATGGCGCAGCTGGGCGGCGGAATTGCGGAGGCCTCGGGGGCGGGGGGGGGAAGAAAAGGGGGGATCTAAAGCTGTGTAAGGAGCTCTCACCGTTAAAGCTCACACGACCCTCAGCCCGGTGGGCTGGTGGATTAATCGCTTCGCTCACTCCGGCGGTCCATATCTAGTTCGATCGGGGGAGTTTTGATAACGTAACCCAGAATGCGGTTATCCGAAGCGTTTTTTGGCCAAGCATCGTGCGAAAAGCTTCCCTGAGTCTCTGGCCGCAGTACTGGAGCCCCTTCAAATCTCCAACGCAGATCCCCCCCTCTGGCGAAATCTCTAAGCCAACTCTCCACCGAAATCTCTGGAAAATCTCCAGAAACCCCCTTCCTGGTGGAAATCTCCAGCGAAATCTCTGGGCCCTTCGCCCGCGCGAGAATCTCCGGCGAAATCTCCGGGCTTCTTGGAATGTGTTATAGGGTTGATTCGAATGTATGGGGATGTCGGACATCTCAGTGAACATCTCTTTGGAAATCTGTTCTGGCAGATTTCCCGGGAGATTTCCGAAGGGCAAGATTTTCCGGGACATTTCCATTGAGATTTCAGTGGGGCAAGAGTTTCCATGTCTTTTCCGAGCGGCGAACTCTCCGGAGTTTCTGGAATGTGTTAGATTAATTTGAATGTATTGGGACGTAGGACATCCCGGTGGAAATATGTTTGGAAATTTGTTCCGAGAGAATTCCTGGGAGATTTTCCGGGAGACTTTTGAAGGACAATTTCCGGGAGATGTCCACGGAGATTTCTGGGGGGGGCAAAATTTCCGTGGGGTTGGTTGGGGCCTCGTGGATCTTTTGGGGGCTCTCGGGGCTTCGTGGGGCCTCGTTCACGATGGGGGCCTCTTGAGGGCCTCTTGAGGCCTCTTCGGGGCCCTTGGGTCACATGTGTTTTTTCCACTATTATTATAATAGGGTCGTGGGCGCACAAATGCGTCGGACGAGCGAAAATGCGAGCGCAGTGTCGCGCGCGGTCGCGCGCGACCCGCCGCTGGTAATAACGTGAATGCGCGGGCGTCGCGGCCACGGCGACGGCGGCGCCCTGCGCCGACGGCGACGACGGCGGTAACGGCGACGGCGGCGACGACGAACATCGCGGCGACGGGGGCGATGGGGCCCGGGCCCACGGGCGAACTTGCGCCCCGCCCTCGCTCCTAGAGTCCCGGGCAAGATTTTATGGGAGGAGCTGGTTTTTACCTATGATTTGACACATTCCATGCTCTTGCAAACATCCCACCCACCCACCCGCAGCTTGGTTTGCAAAACCTCTTGAGACCGTGACGGTAGGTACCAACTGGCACTTGGCAACGACACCGACGACGACGGCGACGGCGACGGCGACGACGCCGACAAAGACGACGACAAAGACGACGACGACGCCGACGACGACGACGAAGACGACGACGACGTCGCCAACGAAGACGACGACGAGAGAGGAGGGAGGACAACGACGGCGACAACGACGACGACGACAACGACGAGGGAGGAGGGAGGACGGCGACGGCGCGAACGACGAATAAGGAGGAAGGACGGCGACGCCGACGACGACAACGACGAGGGAGGAGGGAAGACGACGACGACGACGACGACGACGACGACGACGACGGCGACGAAATAGGAGGGACGACGACGAAACGCCGACGACGGACGACGACGACGACGAGGGAGGAGGAGGAAGGACGACCACGGCGACAACGATGACGGAAACGACCACGACGCCTAAGAGGACGACGACGACGAACACGAGGAAAGACAGAGGACGACGTAGGCGATGACGACGACGACGCGTGAGGAGGGAGGGCGGCGGCGACGACGACGACGACGCAAGAGCGCGCGCGCACGCTTTTGTTGAAAATCCGTGTTGCGAAACCTTGTGTTGTTGCATGGCTTTTGGACACGATTTTAAAAACCCTTCCGAAACCGATGGGTTTTGAATGATTTCGGCGTACGCGCTCGACGACGCGCGCGTCTGCACTTCGTCACATTTTTTGCAGAGGGTTTTCGCGACGGCACACGCGCAAGGGCGTTCGACAGATTTCGACACTGCGCACCCGAAGCCCGTTTGGTAGCATTTTGAATACATCTTGATACACCGATGGTTTTCTTAAGATTTCGCAAGAGCTCGCGCGCAAGTTTTTTGTTCAAATCAGTGTTGCGAAACCCTGAAGGTGTTTGGAGGATTTCGGCATGCGCGCGCGACGGCGCGCTCGTGTACACTTCGTCCCAGTGTGATGTTAGAACAAAAGATGTCCCCGCCTGGTGTTTTTTTTTTTTTTTTTTTTTTTTTTTTTTTTTTTTGCAAGGGAACCTCAGAGGGGGTCGATACCGGCCCCCCTGGGATTCTGTAAATTCATAGTACAGATGGAAATGTGGTCAGAATCATGAATGATTTACATACCCGAAAGGGGGGGCGATAACGCCGGGGGGGGGGTAGAGTATATTTTCTTTTTAGAAAGAAGAATGACGGTTCTGCGCGCAGTTTTACCCCAGCCGCTCCTCTGCTTCACTAAAGCTCACTTGTCGCTTTTACCCGTGCCCCCGAGGGTGAATCGCCCCCCCCTTTCCCCCTCTAAGTTTTATCCCGTGTCGCAAGGATTTACTTGTGGAGAGGGCGCGGAGGCCGATTTTGATAATCCCCGGGGGAAGTTGCGAATCGAATATCCTATCATCTCATGTTGACTAGCAACATCATAGAACGCGCTGAGCATGGCAATGGTGGTGGTCTCACCATTTCAGCTTCCGCAATCACTAGCGTATGGCAGGGCTCTGGGGTTCTCACCATTTCAGTTTCCCCGAGTCACGAACGCGCGGCAGGCTCATGGGTGTCCCACTGTCTCAGCCGAAGCATGCCGTTTTCGAGGGGGCGAGCGCTGC